AGTTTTATAAATGAGACCCCTGGTAGTTTAATTTGAGACTGGAGAAAACATCAGTGGCTATCTTTGTTCTGGACAACATATCATTTTGTGAAGTCCTGGAGGAATAATTACAAATCATTAGAGCTCCCCTGGTAACACTTATCCTGTCTAGAAAGGACAAGATAAGTGTCATCAGTAGTAGAGTGGATGCTGGCAGGTGAGTCCTGGACTGAGCAGTCCTGGACTGAGCACAGACCTGACGAGAGCTGAAAGAGAAGGCATGAAAAAGACTACAAACAGACTGTTGGACTCTTCCCTGAAGGTAGACTATCAGTGGCACTGGGCTGTGTTTGGTGTGTTGTTGATAAAAAGAAGGGATGTCATCTTTGTCCTGTTAGTGTTTGTCATTTGATTGCAATATGGAGGTGTGAATGGATCCATCACTGCACTGTACTGGCTGATGGGGAACAGGATTATGGCTGTGTCTACAGACTGTACACCAATTCTAAGCAGGGGTTGTATATGGTTTGGATGTGTTCACAGTGGAAAAGGGACAGGATAACGTAGACTCTGTATATGTACTACAAAACTCTTGATTGTGTACACCCACAATGCAATGCTCAAAGGAAATGCAGGAGCTGCTGACAGCCTGAATAAATTAAAACTAATTATGGATGGTGGCGAAACAGCCCCAGCAACTGCTCACAAAACAAAAAATAACCACTGAATTATTGTAAAAAACTGTTTGCTTTCTCTTTGTAAAGTTTAATTGTCATTCGAATGTTCCAGTTCGAGTGTGTTTGGCGTACGTACAGTCTTGCACCGTTTCCTTTTATTTCTAGAATATAAATAAATAAATTGCAATAATTGAAGATTAATATATAATACTTACTTAGTTACTTACTTATAAGTCTATACTGAGGCACAGCTGTGCTTTGAGCTAAATGCTAACATCAGCATGCTAACATGCTCACAGTGCTTATATGTGCACAATCTTATTTTTAGCATGTTAGCAAGAAATTTTGACTATAGGCAGTGTGGCCAGAAGGTCAGTTCCATCAGTTTTTGGTTTTTTTTGCTGAAACTTGTATTACCAATGAGTCATGAAAGAAACAGTCTATAGACATCAGAAAAGGAAGTGTGGGGTTTGGCTTAAAGGGCAGCAGACTTTGAGATGATCCACCCACCCAGATCGGCCAGGGCAGCCCACCACAGCGGGTAATCAGAGACTGTTGCGCCCACATTACAGAGATCTGCTCCATCAACATCCTGGATCAACACTCAAAAGGCGGGCCGTGTTCAGAGTCGACAGAGTACAGGACGAGAAAAGGGGGTGTCTGTGTTTATATCGATGCTTTGTGCTCAGTCACAAATGGATGGACACTTTCTTTTTACGTAAAGATGAAACCAATTATATTATCTTGTTGCTGCTGTTTACATTCAGCCAGAGGCACATTCAAAAACTGCACTGCATAACTACAGACTTTCACTTTGTTGTACAACCTTGTGTTGAATGATAATAATAGTGATCCTTGTCAAACACAGCCCACAAGATTTCTTTTTTATTAATATTATTTTTTCTTGTTGTTTCATATCAAAACACCCAAATTAATATGCAAACACAATTGTGGTGTTTTAAAGTATTTTGTTTGGTGCAAAAGGAACTGTCAAAGGTTAAAGGTGCCTGCAAAATGTGTGCAAATTGTTGATAAGAAGAGAGCAGGTTTCTGCCCTCTGTTTGTTGTTTGCAGCCAAACAGATGATAAAAGATGCATTTGTCGGTTAAGTAAGTAAAAAGTCACTGCCCCTGTCTTTTTCTCATAGTTCTTCTCACAGCTGTACAGGTGTTATTTTTTTGGAAATAAACCCATGTCAAAATAACCTTAATAAAAATAAATGAACAGCATGAGCGGCATATTAAAAAACAAATCAAATGATGTACACTTGTGTGGATAATGAACATTGGAAGTGCAACATCTGTTCAGTTTTCCTATAAGATAAAATAAAGTATATACAGAACCAGCCTACGGGGAGATCTGAACCCTGTACCTGATATTGTAAAGCTCCTCCACACAACACACTGCCATCACACTGTTCACCGTGTCTACTTTAATAACCTGAGCTTGATTCTATAAATTCCTCCAACGCTCTCTTGGCAGTGTAGTAGAACATTTTCTTCTTTTTGTGGGTGGTGAAGGTGCAGCCAAGCAAGATCTTTCACACATGCTGCACTTTTTGTGTTTATGGAGGAGACGTCTGAACAGTCGATGATAAAAAGGGTACTTTTCTAGTATATTCATGGAGGTAAAAAAAAAAAATAACCTCCATGGACCTTTGCACTGAAAACAGAAAATGTATGCTGACTGACTTCCTTTGTGTGCCAAGGTCATATTACTGTTGAGCAGGTCCACATTGAATGCAATCCATTACATGCACAATGACATTATTTCCGCTTTCAATCAGGCCTACAATTTCAAAGAGAGGCTGTACTGTATATACACTGTAAAAAATGTCTGTAGATTTTACGGTGAAAAACTGCTAAACCATGACAGTAAAAGACCGTAAAACGATAAATGGTTTAATTCAGTTTTAGTAACAATGAAACACCGTAAATGTATTTATCAGCCAAAACAGTATTTTT